GATGCAGAAGCATTTTGACTGATGTTGCACCGTAGATCGACTTCCCAAACATCAAACTATATTGTCCAATCATTGCTTCAACATTACCAAACATTCTAACCATGGTAATACCCCCAGGGTAGATATTCTCCTCCTCCCCCCCTAGACGCCGCACCACTACCAATGAGATGGTCGCTGTTTTTGGGCCCCGAGTGGTGCCCATAGTTAAGTTTTGATGTCCGCCCACCCGTGACAGCAAAAACCAGGTAAATCGAACCGTTGTATCTGAAGTTCTGGCCTCCCGACCCCCTGTAACCTCGCTGGGGCAATATCTTTCTAACCGTTTACGCTATAACTTTGGAACGAATGGACTGATTCCTTCAAAAATTGATTTTGAGCGTCCTATACATTTATAAATGTTTGTCAAATAGTCAGAACCCCCAAAATCGGGCTCCTTCATGTTGGCGAAATCACCTCGCCGATTTACATTTTATACGCTGATTCCATTGAAACGACACCCAGCAATGCAATTCATTCCTCCTAAATCACCAAACTCGCAAAGTTACCAAAACACCCCCAAAACACCCCCTGACCCCCTAACAAACCAGAAACCAGCACCTGCTAGGCCTACCCTAGCATCCCTACTATTATTTCCCTATTTTCCCCGATTTTTATCGCACCTAATACTACCCCAGTACACCCAGTATTGTCCCCAGTACCCAAAATCCAGCCAACACCCACCCAATTCATGTATACAGCGCCCTACCAGCCTGCTACCCATCTACCCCTACCCCCTACCCATTTTCCTACCCCCTATCCAGCACCCCACCCCATCCCGGTCCCTACCCTGCCCCCAGTATTTTTTATGCTTAAAACCCGAAAATGTACTGGTTATTTTCCCAATTTGGCCGGTGCAGAAAGTGACCGGGCAGAATGCCAGAGCCTGGTGTGGCTGTGCAGCAGTACCCGTCAAACATTACAATGGAGCTGCATGGGTTAACCATGAATCATTATAATGATTCTTACATGGACGGCTGCGCTTTCAACTTCTCCGCATTGTCCGTGTTACCAACCGTTATAGTACCCTGTGACTGTCCTGATCCTGACGCATCCGTATTGGCATTAACCTGCTGCGTAGCTGGGAAACCCATAAACTTGCGCATATAAGCCGTGCTCTTGTGACCGTTCTTCTTGCAGTGGTAGCAGATGTCGCGCTCATGGTTGCCATTCTTAGCGACATGCTCCGAAGATCCGCACTTGTGGCACTTGTTGATCATAGCCCGCTTGAAGTCGTCATACGTCTTGCCATTAGGACCAGCGTTTTTAGCCGGGGCCTGTACCTTGGTCACCCGAGTAGCGTCAATGTCCATTGCGTCTGGAGCCGGGATCGAGGAGACGGCGGAGTGCCTACTCTTGCCTGACTTCTCCTGATCACGTTCACGGATACGTTCACCAGCTGTCTGTGCCGCACGGTAGACGTCGTCCAAGCTCTCCTTGTTGTACGTCAGATTGATCATAACGTCCTTGACACGTTCAGAGAGACCATCACGGAATTCGCGGGCAAGGACAGCATCAGGCCAACCAGTACGAGGGGCATGTTCATCGAACCTAGCCTTGTACTGTTCCACTGAACCTCTGCCTTGGGATAAGCCTTCAAGAGCCTGTTGAGCCGTAGTCTTGACATCAACTGGTTCGAACCGTTTACGGAAAGCAGTCTCGAATTCAGCCCAATCCTTAAATGCCGGATTGCCTTGTCCAATCTGGTCCAGGTATGGCAGTGCCCATGACTGTGCCTTGTCCGTGAGGAAGTTCAAAACAGATCCGATCCATTTCTGATCATCCCTGGTCCAACCACCTGCCGAGTTAACCGCGTTCATAGCAACTCCTTGGTTCTGTGCCCAGTTTGCGAATGTAGCCAAAAAGAACCTGGATGCTGAGAGATCTCCGCTACCGTTGAACATTGCGGGTTTAGCCACAACGCTCTTTCCAGGACTTGAACCAGTTGTTCTACCCGTACCACTAGCACTAATGGTTGCTGCCATCTGGTTGACTGTGTTCGAGGTAGTGTTAACCTGTACCCTCAAGGCATCGATGTTTTGTCCCAATGTGCGTAAGCCCGTTGCGTTGTTATTCTGCACCGAAACCGTGGTGTTCAGAATGCCGATGATGTTATCAATACGTGTTTGTTGTCCTGTGACGGCGTCAGTGATTGCCGTTATCTTTGTTGCCAGTTGGTCTATTGCTTGTACTGTTGCTTCCAGCAGATTCTGCAGATCTTCTGCTGATACTGGCATTGTGTCTGGAGCTCTGATCTCAGACCCTGACTCCGAATCTTCTTCTCTTCCACTGAACAGTTTGTCTCCAAATTCGGCCTAGAGTTTCACTCTTACAGTCGGAGTAGATTTGTAATGCTTTTCTCTATCTATTTCACCAGCAGTTACAACCTTGTGAGCTGCGCTAGTCCTATAGATTCAATATTACAATTCAAAATCTAAACGCAGTCGTTCGAGCTATTCCTCTGTATTGGGAATAGGGGAGTCCAAGCTCAGCCTCCTCGGCCTATTGCAAGAACTGTACAGTATAGGACAACGTAGATGATGCTACGCTGAACAGTATAGTATGGATTAAAACACTAGAGGCCCGAAAGCGTAGTGAGTGGATATTGTGATGATGGTGTGTGTGTGGGGGAGAGTGTCAACACGAGTAACTCGCGATAACGGAGGGAATGGGGCAGTTATGTATCGTAGTGGATAAAAATACCCACAAGTTGAAAAGAAGAAAATAGAAATTAGCACCGAGACTCTGGTTGATTCCCTTCCCATTCATTACATTGACAATGACCGCTTCTGGATCATCACTGAAACGGCCTTCGGGCTAAACCTAACTCTTTATTTCTCGGCGTTTCTAAGGAGTGTACGTGCCTTGCAGGCAGTGTGGCACCAGGTGCTACCTCGAGGGAGTTAGGGTGTGTGGCAAAGTCATGTACGAAGGCGTGGAAAAATCTCGGCAATTGCCGGCCATCGATGTCCTTCATATATTCGATTTTCCACCGCATTATGGTCATGTGACCTGGGTAAGGGTTAGAGGGTCTGGACTCGGCATGGAACATTCTAGATTACTTAGTAGTTTACATTACTCATCGTAGATAGCATGTGATTGGCTTACTGTACAAGTCTCGGCACAATGTGGGTCAACGGAGTTGATGTGGATAGAGTAGTATAAGAACCCCATGTACATACGTCCATAGTTTCCCTTAACTCGATCTCCTTGCTTCTCGCCATACTCAGTGTGACTTTGTGTCCTGGTGTATCCAGCCCCAAGCCCACGGTCTTCAGTTCACCCCTATTCTCTCTGGGCTAGTGCCCCTAGGACAAGCGCTCCTAGTACTCACACATTTGCACGCCGACGCCCTCAGCTACAGGGTTAGGCTAGGTTTGGTTTAGGTTAGGGTTTGGCTATAGGTGTACGCCTTAGGTCTAGGACCAGGCTACCTTAGCATTAGATCGAGTTCTCTCACTCGGCCGGGCTATCGTCCCTTCGAGTATATTCGATTTCATTGAGTGTTTTCGCATCATCTCAGATTAACGGAGGCTGACAGTTATTATGGCACTGATGCGGCGTACCTTGTCCAGCCGCTCATTCCAAGAAGACTCTCCTGACTCCCACTTCATCCCTGCTCGACCCTTCCTATAGTGTAGCCAGTGTTGCGACGACGGAAATTGAACATGATAAGTAATGAGAGTGGGTGGGTAGGATGAGGTAGGATGAAAAGAAGGAGCGTGGGTCATGAATCGAACTTCAGGGCTGGTGATGTTACGTTACTTTGCTCGTGAAACGGAAGTTTCCGAAGCAAACAGTGGCGTTAGACATATAAACAATCTATTGATATTACTTGTTTTAATAGTGTGAGGCATGACCCATCAATTTGCTTATCTGAAGTTATTTATAGTCATGTTCCGAGTCATTGCGAGTGGCGCTGGAGGGTTCGTAAACGGATGGTCTAGTAAAAAGCATGTATGTAACAATTCTCTGTTTTTCCTCTGTTAGACTTCGAACATCTTTGAAGCGCGACACCGAGTTGGCATACGTGGTGTGGTCTCAGAAGTGAATAACGGAATGATTAGGATGGTGGCCGATAGGGATGTATGAGAAATTGACGGTATCGATGCAGTGGGAGATGCGGGTAGTGATGGAGTCTCGGATAGGCGCAGACTCTGATTAGAGAATCCTCTCGGATTGTCGCCATGCGGTAACGGACTTCCCCGAAGAGATAAACAATAGATCAGAGGGTGTGCGTGGTAGTTGCACAGGTCGCGCTGCTATATCATCTGAGTTTGGAGGGGGAGGTGCTGATGGAATATGATGTGTTGCATGTGGCGGCTGCGGCACTCGAGGTGCGGGAGGTGGCGGAAGAGCTGAATATGTTCTGGGCAAGTGGGAGATGGTCGAGGTATTGTGACTGGGAGCGAAGGCATCGTCGGTGAATATGTCAGGATTGAAGGGATAAAGGCCGCTGCGGCACCATACAGATTGGATTGTGGATGGCTTGAATGCTTTGTTGTGGATGGCTAAATACTTGGAGATGAATGTATCCTTCGTGACGAAAAGACCTCTGGCGGCGAGTTCATTACAACGATGGGCTCAGCTCTTCTTCAGCGGGCCAAAGCAGCCAACATCCAGTGGCTGAAGCATGTGAGTGTGACCTCGCGGCGTCGAGGAACACTAAAACCAGAGTGGAAACCCGAAGAGAGCACTCAGGCAACTAAACAAGCAAAGAGTGTCTCTGTTGACGTATAGACAGAAGGCCTAGCTAGGGTAGATGAGGGGGGGGAGAAAACCCTAAGAGAAACGAGGGAGCCTGAGCGAGTAGTATATATACATGCGCGCCGGTCTCTATCCCAGTGGAACAGAAGTAAGAAAGTCGGAAGTCCGAGACCGGTAAGTCCCAGGTCTGTGGTGTTGTAGGAACCTCATATGCGTGTGCGAGGTTACAGTGAGTGCACTTCGCAGGAAGAAGGTCGACGTTGATCCCTGCAGCAACGGCATCAAGGATGAGGTCATTTGTATCATGAGAGGTATGGTCATCAAAGCTGAGGAGTATGGGGCGTCCGTTTGCAAGTTATTTCGATTCGGGAACAAATACCTTGTTGAAGTAGGCCCGTCCGAGTATCTGGTCTGTCTAGCCGTTTGGAGAGGTGGAGACACTATCATCGGTCAGATGTCAGTAATGAACTGAAAATGAAAATACCAAAGACACACACCTGGCATGGCCAATATCAGTCTTCTGAAACCATGACTTCCATAACTTCTTCCCCTGAAATACAAAACCTGGTGCCATTGCATCTCCAGCAGCGTTGACAGCCTCGATAAAACGATCTTGAGGTCATCGTTGGCAAGACAGGCTCGTGCTCTTGAGTGACGAGACAGAATGACCTTTCTCTCGTTTGTGACTCTTTCACCTCCAAATGTACATCCCTGCTCATCCAGATTCTAGTCGCAGTCCAGGTCATAGTGTTTTAACTGCTTCTGTGCGGCCACCGCATCAAAGTGACGCTTCACGTTGGCATGGTTTGGAAGTGCACACGAGCTTGCTCACGGAGCTATAATGTAGATCTTGTACATACCTATCCTTTTTGTACGCGAGACTCACAAGTCGGAGCTTATGCCACTTCGCCACTGAATAAAAAATAATGCTTTTCTTCTGTAATTCCATTTGAATTGTTAACCGTCTCGAGAGACTTTGTTCTAGAGCATTCCAGGTCACGTCAGTATCATGCAAGATGTCGTGCTCCATCAGGAAATTATGTTTTTGCTATATAGAAGCATGCCCTTCTATTTATAATTTGATCGCCCTGATAGCCGGTGCTGGACTGTCATAGATCACCGGGTGCCTGACCTCAAATAGGAGAGAGTGCTATAGCTCTCATAGCAGTCATATAATGTCTCACTAGGTAATGTACTGTATCTCCTAAGTATGACGAGATATTGCTACCTTTTAGGAGGTAATCAAGCCTGTAGATGTTTTACATCTTTGTTGACTTTTCTTTTATGCAGTAGAATGATTTGTACTATAAGACAACAGGCTGTACAGAATAATCACTGCTCTGTATGATCTAAAGAGTTGGCAATTTCAAGTACAGTAGGTATTTTTCTCTTATTTCATGGAATTTTCTTTATTTTTGCTCACAATACATAGAAACGATAGAAAAGTAATTGTATTCATGACTAAACTAAATACATGAGGGTGTACAGAATATAAAGAGATCAAGAGAAAAGAATGCGTGAACTTGGATGAAATTCAAGTGCCTTCCTGGACGTCCAGGAAAGCACAGCCACGAATGCCACATGAAGTGGCCCTTCACCTGAATATTCAAAATTGAACGTAAATAAGTCAGTTATGACAGAAGGATAGATGTAGAGGGAGGGAGAGGGAGAGGATCTATTGGTAGTGGAGAGCAGAAGGGCTTGACTTACCAGGAACATGTAAAAACCTAGGTTTTTGTGGCCCAGATGAGCAGTGTGGCCCAAAAAAGGGACATGAGGAGAAGAGGATTGTGGAATAGAGGTAATATGTGGATAGAAAAGGGAGGACTCACATGACTAACCATAGAAGTAA